AACAATATATAAGATACCAAAATATGTGTTCATAAAGTTAATTTCGAAATTAACACATGTTTTCAAAACTTATAAATTATTATTATAACTAGGTGATTTTCCCGTACTCATGTACGGGTATGAATATTTATAAAGTAAAATTTTATTATAATTAACTGATATTTAGTTTTAGTTTTGAATCAATTTATATGTATAATTTATATTAATAAAATATTATATTATTCTAATTATACATATGACTTTAGATATATTATTGTCAGTTTAATTATTATTTGGATCAATAATCAGTTTGGCTATCAATTTGATATATTAGATAATATCTATTTTTTCCAATTCAGCTATAATATTATTTATTCTAAATATAATAAAACTTTGATTAATTTTCTTATTTTCATTTCGGTTGGTTATTGTCTTAGATATGTAAATATAGTATAGTTAAATTAAGTATAACTTAATATATATTATGCTTAAAATGAAATAAATAATAAGTTGAAGTGTTTGATTCAAAATTACATAAATGAATATATTGATAATATTTTGAAGTCTCATGCATATATATAAATTCTACAAAAGAATTAAATTGTAATTGGTTAATATTTTCTTTTTCGTTTAAATATGTTTTGAGTCAACCTCTAATTTATATATATATAATTAAATAGATTATTATTATTATTATTATTATTATTATTATAAAACTCTATTTTCTTATTGTAATTAGATGTTTAATTTTGGATATAAATTAGATTAGTCGAGTAATTCATTTTGTGAGTATATCGAGATATATATATATTTTAAAATTAAAATTGAAGCATAATAAATTTTTATTTTAGTTAAGTCAAATAAAATTAGTTTTATTTATCACTTAAATATACATGTATTTTCATAATATTTATTTACTCTTGTTAAGTCAAATCAATTAGTTTTATTTTTCGCTTAAATATACATGTATTTTCATAATATTTATCAAATTATATGTTGATTTCTATAAAAAATATTAGAAAATAAAGTATAACTGATAAATTTTTGGATGTTCATGAACATATATATACTAGGTGATTTTCCCGTGCTCATGCACGGGCATGTATATTTATAAAATAAATATACAATAATAACTGAATGATATTTACTTTAATTTTTAAATTAATTTATAGTTTGTATGTCTAATATATTATAATATTATATTACTTTAATTATATATATAATTTTAGATATGTTATATTTAGTCTGTTTTATTGTCTTATTTGCATTTATGATGATTGTTATCTTAGAAATATAAGTATATTTAGTAAGATTATATATAACTTAAGATTTTTTTGTGCTTAGAAGGAAAAAAAAAGAAAAACTAAAGTTTCTGATTCTAAATTACATACATAAGTAACTAATGAATTTTTAGACGATTTTGAACACATATCAATATTTACAATAGTTAAAATATTTTATAAATTCTAAATAAATTTATGCTTTAGATTGTTTGGATGGTAAACTGAAATTTATTTTAAATAATTTTAAAAATAAAGATTTTGATTTGCTTAAGTATTTGACTATGGTTATATTAAGTTTCACAAACATAAAAACAAAAATTAAAAATCAAAAGATTATTAAGAAAACAAATATTTTTAACTATTAAAATATAATACATCTACCTCGTTAAATTATATAGTGTTATGGTATTTTAAAATAATTGTAGTTATTTTCTGTTTTTATGTTTGTGAAACTTAATATAACCATAATCAAAATACTTAAGTAAATCAGAATCTTTATTCTTAGAACAAATAATTTTAACTATTAAAATATAAATATATATCTACCTCGTTAAATTATATAGTGTTATGATATTTTAAAATAATTGTAGTTGCTTGATCAAAAGATGTTTATCATTAAATTTATTTTTAGTTTTATTTTTAGTATCTCTTAAAATAGCCTGATTGTTTTTGAGAAATTATACTATATAAGTAAATAGAATTTATATTTTTACTGTAATTGTAAGATATTATAGTCAAATAAATATACTAAAAAAATAATTTCATTAATACTAATTATAAAAAAATGTCAGTTAAACAGATATCAGTTTATGTTAGTTGATTATTTTATGTAATCATCTAACAAAATAGATAGATATATACAAAAATAATTATTTTGAAAATAGATATATTTTATTGTTTAAAATTATTTTTTTAAGGAAAAAATATTTCTTTTTCTAATAGCAATATTTTTTGTGTAAAATTTATTTTATGAAATCTCATTATATACAGATATTGTTTTTTTTTTATCTAAGAAGATATAGATATAAAGTATTTTATTACTTCAAAGGTATATTTTATGTTATTTAAATTAATTATTACTATTTTGTGAACTTTCCTTTTTTTATTAAACCATATTATATATACTTATATTTTCGTTTTTAAATAGTTTTGTAAATTTTATAAATGTTTCCTTTTTATTTTATATTGTTATTTGGAAATTTTTAAAAATGAAATAATATTTAATTGTATTTTTAATTCATTAGGGGTATCATAGTAATCAACCATTGTGAAAGTTAACGTGAGCGCGACACCTAAGAAAGTGACTTCTCAAATAATATTATAGAGATACGAGAGTTGAATACAGGTAACGTTATTGTTTAAACCAAAAGATGTGCGACCATTTCTTACATGCAGTATAAGAAAGTGAAGGATCTTGGTGCCTTTACACACTCTATCTGTACATTTCACACCTTCAGAACAGCTAAGTCCTGGAGGCAACTCTTTAGACAAGAATCTCGGGATACATGGCCGGCGTTGGACAAAGCCGGATGAAACATTAGCCTAGGCTCCCAAAATGTTTAGAAAAAATTACATGTATATAGACCCCCAAATTTTTTTTTTCTAAACCCCCAAATCCGTATAAAAAAAAAGTTTACGTGAAATCGTTAAAAAATCGCTTTAGGCCCCATAATCTCAGAGCCGGTCGGGATAAACCAAAAATGGGTAAATAAGACATAGTTCACTGGAGATGCCGCTGAAGGCAATTAAAGTAGGATAAACTGATGCAATATTAGCGTATCTACACATTAAGCTAACATATCATATACAAGATAATAAAATATACATTATTAAGATATGGAAATATCCCTAATATCGATATGCTAACTTAATATTTAGATACGCTAATATTCGGGTTACCGTGTTTGGCCGCCATAGCAATCGTGATCTTCTTGTAGGTTACTCTTATAAATCTTCTTCGGATTGAAGTCGGTCAGGTCTCAATCTACCTAGTCATAAGACGCTCAGAAGCAGATTGTAGCATGCAGATTCGGAGGATGCCATGTTGACGTATATATTTTTGTGGTCTGTTGAATTGTGATTGGCGTTGCTTCCGTCGGAAAACATGCTTTTCACAGTTCAGGTTAGCATGTTCTTTCGTACGAGCGCATACAACGGTCCGTGTACATACTAATGGTTTAAGAAGTTTAACCACTTATTATTGTGGCTTTCATGTAGTATGTGACCTTTTTCTACAGGTTAAAACGTTGGGTGGGACTTCGATAAAAAAACGTTGGGACCTCAAGCAACTCTGACAAAGTATTACCCATGTATCACTGCTACATTGGTTACGAGGAAATTATCCTACCCTTTTTTTTTTTTTGATCAACAAATTATCCTACCCTAATACTTGAAATATTTGTTAGTGGAAATAAATAAATAATTTGATTTGTCAATTGGATCAAATAATAGTTAGGCCTAGGCCCAACAACTTGTATGGTTATAAAGTTTTTTTTACCTCCCTAGGGTTTTGAGATTTCACTATATATATACTAGTACAAAGGTTTAACCATCCTAATCACTTCTCCTACAACACCCTAGGAGCACAGAGCATCACTGACAAGGCATCCAGCATAAACAAGAGGTATGTAGAATTCTATATCAATAAACTTTGGTGATTATTCTATGCAAAACATAAATATAAGATGTGGTTGGTCAAACATGGTCGATCCCGCACGATTTTTGTAATTATTCTCTGCAAAACATAAATACAAGATGTGGTTGTCAAATATGGTTGATCTCGTGCGGATTAAACAAAGTTGATGTTTGACCTGCACGGGAGTGGTTCTAACTTATATATCAAAATCAATAGTAAAATTTTTGTGATTATTCTATGCAAAACATAAATATAAGATGTAGTTGATCATAGTCGATCTCACACAATTTTAGGATTATTCTATGTAAAACATAAATATAAAATGTGGCCATCAAATATGGTTGATCCCGTGCGGGTCAAACAAGGTTGATCTCGCACGGGAGTGTTGATCCTGCACGGATCAAACATGATTGATTTCGTGTGGATCAAACATAGTTGATTCTTCGCAAAATATAAAATATAAGATGTATATTAGATCAAACATGGCAGATCTTGTAGGGATCAAATAAGTTTGATCTCGGATCAAATAAGTTTGATCTCGGATCAAATAAGTTTGATCTCGGATCAAATAAGTTTGATCTCAGATCAAAATTGATGTTGCAGGGTTGATATGTGCTGGTTGAACATGGTTAATCTTGTAGGTAAAGATAAAAATTCTCAATTCTACCTAAAACATATAAAGTCTTGTTCATCTAAGATTTATTGATTGTTCTTTGAATACATAAAGTATATATCTTTTTAAAAACTATAAAATACTTTTATCCTCCATGTTATTAGGATATATAGGTTACAGAATTATGTTTATGGACCTTTTTATATATTTATCACCTATTCAAATTAGCTTTAGAGAGAAACTTCGTAAAGATTAACAAGATAATCTAGTAAAATTAGGAAATCATTGGTAAATATCTTTTCTAAATAAAAAAATATAGAATACTCAAAAGTAGTTACTAGATCTTAACAAATATTCACGGATAAATTCATAATTTGATTTTCTCATAAATTCATTTATTACAGAAGTGAAAGCATATCTATTAGTTACCGCTCGGTATAAAAAGTTAAAAACTGGATATATAGTTTTGAATCTCTCTTTCAAACAATGAGGAGAAAAACACTGTAAAATAAAAAGTTTTTGGTTCCGTCCTTGGGTTCAGTGGTTATGGTTTGTTTGTTTTGTGTACATAGTTTTTTTCGATGTTTTTGTCCGTATAAATAACTGACGGTTTCATAATTTTCTGGGAAAAAAATGAATGAACATCGCTCATGATTCATGTTAGTAAGGTTTAATTTCTCTCTCGATCTCGAGATTGTTCTCGCGTATTCTTTGAATTCGATTAAAGTGCTGACGTAATCTCTCGTTGTTTCGGCTAATCTCTTTGGTTTTGTTTTAAATTGAGACGTATCCAACATGTTTTTGTTGTTCGATTTGGTTCTTTGTGTGTTGTTTGTTTGAAATTGAATTTGATCCAGTTCTTAAATTGTGATTTGATTGTGATAGATGATCAAATCAATCATTGTGTTTTGAGAAACCAATCAATTTTGAACGGTTCTGTTCTGTACATGCTTGTTAGTTTTTTTTTTTTTTTTTTAACATGTCTTAAATTAAAAAAAATCTGTTTGTTAAATTTCAGCAATGTACAGTGGAGCTGTAAGAAAGGTATCACGCCAAGATATCAAAGTGGTAAGTTAATGTGTGAAATTGAGTAAGAAGATTGTAGGTTTTTGTAGAAATTGTGTTTCCTAAATGATTACAAAAACAAATAAGTGATCTATGTTAATATGTGCAGGTAAAAGTTTCTATGGAAGTAGAGGATAACAACAACCTGTATAAAGAATGTGTATACGCTGGAGGAGGCCCAAGTCAATATATCAGTTGGTTAAGTGGTGATAAGGTGAGACTTTTGCCTCTTATTATGTTTGTTGCTATTTTGAAATGTGTTAACTGATTTTTCATCTTCAGAGACCACTTCATGATGTGCTTGGATTCAGAAAGGAGATCAATGGTATGACCATGGACATTGCGCTTCAATGGTATGGCCATTTTCCTAATTGTCTTTGTTACTCTAAACAAGATTCTATTGATCTCATAGGATGTTGTTGTTTGTACCAGGTATGTAGATGGATATTCAGAGAAAATATTGGGATTTGCCAATGGCATCCACACCCTTGATGGGGGAACACACATAGATGGTGTGAAAGCTTCAATTACAAGGACTATTAACAGCCTTGCTAAAAAGTTGAACCTTGTCAAGGTAATAAGACCAGTCTCATCATTAACGTAGTTTTGCCTTTGTGATTTTGAATTAGTGTCTGATGGTAATATAATTATTTTCAGGACGAGGATATAACCTTAAGTGGGGAGCATGTTAGGGAAGGCTTGACTTGCATTGTTTCAGTAGTTGTTCCAAAGCCTGAGTTTGAAGGTCAAAAACAGGTACATAAGACCCATATAGTTGTGGTCCTCTTCTTTGTGAATGATATCTGTTTAGAAAATAGTGATATTTTGCTCTCTGCTTTCTTTCTTGCTAATATATTTGCCACGTACTATCTGGAAAAGAGGAGATTAGGAAATCCATATATCAGGGAAATTGTTGACAAATCAGTCCAAGAGTACCTAACGGAGTATTTTGAATTGCATCCAGATGTACTTGAGAGCATTTTCTCCAAATCCTTTACCGCTTACAAGGTATGTTATTGGTAAATACTTATTAATACTGCTGTACTTTCAGTTACTTTCTCATGAAAATGTACCTGGCGACTCTTTCTCTTTCTAGAATACTTTGGCTATGAAGAGGGCAAGGGAAGTGATTAGATCAGAGAGTGTTTCAACGTCCCGCACCATTCCTGAGAAACTGACCAACAGCTCTTCTGGAAATTTTGGTATGTATTAGTAAATCACAACATGAGCTCTATATTATAAGGAAACAATATAGTTTAAATTAATTTTTTTTATCATGCCTCCAGAAATTGTTATAGCCATAGGAGAATCTTCTGGTAGCGCTGCAAAACATGGTGATGACAGGCGTTTCCAGGTAATACATTCTTTTGACTTTCTTTATATCCACCTCTATGTAAATATCTGGGCAATAAGACAACAATAGTCCGCTTTTTAGTGGGATATTGTTGGATGCTTGAGAATAGCCATACTTTGGTATTTTATGTCTCGTGCAATAAGTAGAGTCTAGACAGCTCGTGAGAGTTTGTTAGAAAAACTGAGCGCGAGCAGATGGAAACAAACCATTGGTGACTCTTTATGAGTATGTCAATGCCAAAGCTTCCTTCCTTTACCAGCCAAAAAGACATTTGTCTCGGTGGCTCTGACAGTTATATCTATCTATCTATTGCCAGAGCAAAAGGACACGGGAACAGCCTCGGAGCAATGGAAGATCGCCAGAGAATCCTAGTGATTCATGCATTGACAAGAAACGCCAAAAAGTTGTTCCATCCTCACATCCTTCAAGGCGTGATGGTGTAGTCTCTACTGCTCCTGGAAAACCCCTAGAGAATGTAAGTGTCAAGACCCTTAAAGGTGTATCCCCTGTCTCAAACCGACCAAACCGTAAGAATGTTAGTGTCAAGACCCTTAAAGGTGTGTCCCCTGGCTCAAACAAAACCAAACCAGTTATCCCAATTGGTCCTAGTTTCCAGGCTGAAATTCCGGTTTGGATTGCACCTACCAAGAAGGGTAAATTCTATGGTAGTCCTGGAGATTCCGACACTCTGAGGTGGCTTGGAACTGGTGTTTGGCCAACATATAGCCTAAAGAAGAAAGTTTACCACAAAAAGATCGGCGAAGGAAGACCAGACTCTTGTTCTTGTGCTACTCCAGGAACAACCAATTGCATAAAGCTACACATTAAAGAAGCAAGGGAGCTTCTAGAAAAAGAAATTGGAAGTGCTTTCTATACATGGAAGTTTGATGAAATGGGTGAAGTGGGATCAAAGTCATGGACGGCCAAAGAAGAGCAAAAGTTTGAAGCTCTTGTGAAAAAAAATCCTTTGTCACGCTGTGATGGATTTTGGAAGTTTGCTTCTAAGTCTTTCCCAAGGAGAAGTGAGAAGGATCTCATTAGTTACTACTATAATGTTTACCTCAACCACCGTAATAGCGATGATGACCACAATGGTGACTTCTTAGCAGGGTGAAGATGAAGGCTTTGTCATGACATTTTCTTAAGGGAGATCAGAGGTAACTCAAAATTCTAAGTCCTTGATACTTAGTGATTCAAGAACATATTCCTTTTCCCCCTTAAGATTTTCTATCATAGGATTCCAAATCCACCAATCTAAATTTGTTTTTCCCCCCTCAAATTCTATATAGATAGTTGTTTTCTTCTTCATGAACATTTGCTTGAATATTTGAAATTTGGAACCTTTATATATTCTTAGATCCTTTTGAGGATAGTGGGCCTAGACTAGACAAGGCTAGGATTGTCTTTTTCCCTCTTCTTTGTGCATCAAAGATTCTCTATAATCCTTTTAATGTCTAAATTTGGATTAAACTAAATCAGAAATTACATTGTTGTCATTACAATAAACAAAATACTACCATACATGATTAAGAAAAACTTCTCGCGAAAATAAAGAAATGAGCGAAAACATTGTCTCTTTGTATAATATAGTTTTAAAACCTTCATTCTTTTCAATTTCTGATGGGAAAACCGATTATTAGACGGATTCTGATCGCGATGAAGCAAAAAAAAACTTGGACCAAATTCAAATAGATAAGATGAATTAATTGCATCTTATCTTATGTATTTTATTCTTCAATGTGAGTAGACCTCAAAGATCTTTTTTTAAAAGATTTTTGATTGCAATTATTCCTGTCGTAATTTAGAACACTGACACCATGATATGTTGTGTATCATAGTTATAATTCATTCCCTTTAAAATTTTTTCCTTATGAATTAAGTCAAGTTGTTTATTATTCTTTTAAGCAATTTGCTCATAGTTTCTTCCGAATTAAATAAAATAATGCTCGGATCGATATCCAAATTATACAAATATGTATTTGATTTTATTTAATTCTTCTATGAAAACTAATGCGTAAAGATCAATTAAGAACATCAACCAAACATTTTTGTACTTCCAAATTATCGTTTTACATCAATCGACAAGGACTAATAAATGGAAATGGAGATCTAGATTGTGGTTGAGTCTCATCGGTCAATACGGGGAAGTTTTTTTCAGGGTTGCACGATCATGTAGAGATTGAGAGGGGTTGAAAAAATCTGTCCATAATCGATATGACCCCCCCCCCATAAAGAGCATGAATCTGAGGATCAAAAGAAGAATATAAATCGCTTTCGAGTCAATATTCTGCAAAAATCAAGTTACCTAAGATTATAGGTGTGTTTTTAGCGGATTAATTGATTTCATCTAACTAAACCAAATCAAAATAACCAATCAGTTTTTAATACAACTAAAATTAACAGCATTAACAAGAAATCTTGTACATCCAAATTAGCATTTTGCATCAATCAGGAAGGACTAATAAATGGATATGGAGATGTAGATTTAGGTAGAGCCTCTTCGGTCAATATGAGGGAGCTTTTGCCAGATATGTATGCATTTTCAATAATAATAAAAATTGTTATACACCATCATCTCGAGATTGAGAGAGGTTGAAGAAATCTGTCTATAACCGATATAAAATCTCCCCTCCCCCCAAATATAGTAGAATACTCATACTATGCTGTGGTGAACAACATCATAAATGTCAATTAACGATATCAACCAAACATTTTTGTACTTTCAAATGAGCGTTTTGCATCAATTGCCAAGGACTAATAAATGGATATGGAGATCTAGATTGTGGTGGAGTCTCATTGGTCAATTCGAGGGAGCTTTTGCCAGAGATTTATGCGTTGTAGAGATTGAGAGGAGTTGAAGAAATATGTCCATAGTCGATATAAAATCCCCCGCCCCAAAAATAAAGTAGAATAGTCATAAAATACTTTGGTGAACAACATCATAGAGAGCATGACTCCGACGTAAAAAAAGAGAATATAAATCGCTTTCAAGTCTCTATTCTGCAAAAATCGAAATAACTATCTAGGATTATAGGTGTACTTTTAACAAATTAATTGATTTCATCTAGATTAAACCAAATCAAAATAATCAATCAAATTTTAATACAACTAAAATTAACAACATCAACCAAATATTTTTTTTTTTATAACACTGAGTAATGAACAAAGTTTGAGGGCAAACAAATGTGAAAGACTAAAAAACAGGAAAATGAGATGTCAGTAGACACCATCATAACAACAGAAGAAAAGAGAAGCATGATTTACCAACACCCTTACTCATTTAGCCTCCAAAACTAGAAGGTGAAATAGCCACGATGGAGCATTCCGAGCGATGTACATCAACCGAATATCTTGTACATCCAAATTAGTGTTTTACATCAATTGGCAAGGACCAATAAATGGAAATGGAGATGTAGGTTGAGGTAGAGTCTAGTCGGTCAATATGAAGAAGCTTTTGCCGGAGATGTGTGGATAATAAAAAAAAAATTATACACCATTATGTAGAGATAAAGAAAGGTTACAGAAATTTGTCCATAATCAATATAAAATCACCGCTCCCCCAAAATCTAGTAGAATACTCATACTATGCTTTGGTGAACAACATAATAAAGAGCATATAACTCTTTTGTAAAAAAAACAGTATAAATCATTTTCATCAAAACAGTAAAATCCAAACCTGAAAAATGTTGAAGCAATTAAGCCTTTAGGTTGCCTTTCAGATCTGAGGCGTCTCTACACAAATAAAACTTATTATTCAAGGGGTTTTTAGAACTGAAACTAATTTTATTAGGTTTTCTGGAAACAATGACATGTAATTAAGTTTTTGAAACATATTAACTAAATATATATTAAGTTTTTTTTATCATGATTAGTGTGTAATGTAAAAATTGAATAGGTATTAAGTTAATAATCATAGTTACCTGAAAGTTCAATTGCTTATACGTTGGTTTACGGTTTTATTTATTTTGCAGGAAGCGACAAAGCTGCTTGAAACATGAGGCTGCTTGAAACATGAGGCTGCAAAGACAAGGTAAGGTGAGGTGGAGTGTTCACTTTTGTGAAAACCCTTAGGATATGTTTATTGGGAGGTTTTTAAGGTGAGGTTCTTACCGTAATATAATAACCACTTCTTATTTTTTAACTAAGAAAAACTAAGAACCGTCTCTTAAAACTTTTATTTAAGAGTCGGTTCTTAGTTTTTCTAATTAAAAATTAAAAAAGGTTCTTATATTACGCAAAAAAAATTACCCTAAGAACCTCCAATACACATGGCCTTAGCCTCTCATCTGCTAGGAAATGACCCCTCCAAATTACATCAAATTTAGCCTAGTTGTCACCAAGGCACAATTGCTAATATGCAGTTTGAATTATAACAGTCTCTGCTGAAACCCAAACCCAAACTAAACCAAATCATTTATTAGATAGTATATGTGTGCATATATGATATACATAATTTTCTTGTACAATTTTTTTTAAAAAAAGTTAGAAATTGTTATATGATTGAAACCTGATTTGTAATTTATGATATTATCCAGATTTTATATGCAATATTATATATATATATATATATATAAACTTAAAAAAAATGTTATTACTGTTTTAATTTTTAGACTGAAAAACGATAAAACAAAAATTATTTAAAAGTGTAATAATTTATATATGTTTTACTATATATAACCAATGTATGATGATTTAGGGGCAAGCTTAAATTTTTAATCTGGGTATGTTGACAGATCAACTCAGAATATATGATGGCTTTATAATACTGGATTTTCTTTGAATGTTGAGACAGTATGAATGGTTTTTATTGGGCAAGCATACATTCAGTATCAATCTGGTTTGTTTGATTTTGGCCCATCTTATACCAACTTCGAAAATATGATGACATATACATTACTGGTATGGTAATAATCTTCTTTCAATATATACAAACATGACACAGTATAGGAAGTTTCATATTGAGCTACCATATAGTCCTGTGATAATATTAAAAGTCACTAATAGATACACAAGGAAGCTTGACACACACTGTGGTGTTCTTTCTTCGCCTTAGAAACACATTTCACAAATCCAGCAGCAGCATAGGAAGAAGAAAACACAAGAGTTAGTGCTAGGAGAAAGATAGAAACAGAATCTTTGATCTGTTTTCTGGTTCAGTTCTTGAAGTTTTCCATGCAATTATGTGACCTGTGGTGATTAGTTTTGTAGTTTTTACTGCTTTCAAAAGATAAAATTTAATGGTATTTATTAACTTTATATCTAATGTTCACAATTACAGTATGTAATATCATGATTTTGAAAGGCATACTCTTGGAATAGTGGCCCAATAAATACAAAAGGAAACTATCTATGGATATAATTTAAAGTAGGGTTTTATTTAATAAAACTAGATATACAAATTAATATATACATAATTACAGTATGTATATATTAATTTGTACTGCACGTTTTTTTTGGTCTGGTTAATTATAATATTAGAAATTATGAAAAACATTACATAGATGATATTATATCCGATAATTCTATTTGTCTTATGCGGATTCATGTGTGACTCAAGATCTCTTGTAAGCCTTTTCTCTATTTTTTTACATAATTCATCTTTTCCGAAAATTGAAACCTAGAAATTACATAGTCTGGGATTCGAACCCCAGACCTGGATGTAAAACCTTTTAAATTTTTGATCACTAGGCTACGATACTTCCACAACCGTATTGCGATTAGTTTTATAATCGCCCAAAAAAATTGATATGGTGCAACTTATGGAAGGAATAATTTCCCATAATTTATTTATTTTATTCCTTAGATTTGTCTAGTTTTTTAGATCGGTACTGATGCAAACCAAAAACTGAATATTTTTGCAACATTTAATCCGAACTCATAACGTTTATGCAATATATATGTATTTTATTCGCATAGTTACATATATATTTATCCAGGGACCTGAATATGTGCATCATATAAGATTTACCGCATTTACCAGTCCCGGCTCTAGACTACGGCGACAGGGGCGGTTACCATGGACCCATAAAAAAATTTAGTGTTATTTCAAAGATCATTTTTAATTTGTTTTGTTATTAAAAAGCCCATAATTAATTAAATCCTCAAACCTAATCTACTAATAAAAAGACAAAACAACAGAAAAAAAATCTGTAAACTCATTACCTTAAGATCCACCTAAATATGATGTATTTACTAATAATAAGGATCTAGATTTATATTTTTTTTAGCAACAAGGACTCAGTTTTTTTTGTATTTAAATGTTGAATTTAAAAAAATTTAAAAGATATGATACCCAAAATTCCGTAAACTTTATATATGCAACCAAAATAATAGGTTTAGCTAATTTTTTAAAAAAAATTAACATTACATTTAATAACTAAATTAATTAATTAAAAAATTATCAAAAGTTTTTACTTAGAGTCCTTCAACAAGTTAAGCCGGGCCTGAGTAGGACGCCTACCGTGTGTTTCTAGCAAGTGCAAAACTATGGAATCTGGGTATGTCATAACCCAACCGGTACCGGTACCTTTTTTTTTCCAACCGGTACCGGTACCCTTAAGTTCATGTATTAATGGGGTCAAGGAAGTTTGATGTATAAAATTTTACTTTTTCTTTACTAAAAATGTTGTCTTTATTTACCGAGATCTCATATTACATAAAAAATCTATGATAACTTATGTTATTTGAATGAGAACTTTTGTTTAAAACCAAGATAAACTAAAAAAAAAAGTTATAGACCAGCCTTTCGTTGTCAAAAAAAAAAAAAAAACTAAAAAAAAAAAGTTTATGTAGTAAAGTTTTATCGGTTTTTCATAACAATATGGCTTTTTTATTTGTTCAAGTACTCATAACAATATGGCTAACGCAGCCTAAAAAAACTAGTTGATACTCCACAGATGTATTGATCGATCATAGACGATTATACCAATGCGTGCATGTATCCTTAAATAAACAATTTTTGAAAGCTTTCTAAAGTTGATTCTTATAATTTCATATTATCTTTTAGATTTCTTTTTTATTGGTTGGGTTTATAAACATAATTTTCTAGATATAATTAAAGACATACATCTAGAAATTATTCAATCATTGGAGACAAGCAGATCAATTTGGGACACAAGTGCAAACTTCACGTTTGCAGATAACGTGATTGTTTGGTGGACACCCATCACGAATACCGTTACCAATTCCTAAACTTTGACCGCCAATAACAGCACCATGGCTACAAGTACATTTATGGTCTTTACATATTACATGTGTATCTAGTCTGCAACCACGAGGATCACAATCTTCAGCTTTGTTACATCGAAATTGACCTTCACCCCTCATTATCATGCCTGTGTAACAAGACATAAATTTAAGTAAAACCAAACCAAACCAGATGCTTGTGTACCTCTATTAAGTTAAAAGGAGGGGAGAGGTGAAGAAGAAAAGCAAAATTTTGATGTTGTGTAAAAATATTCCATTTAAAATAGTTACAGATTTTATCACTTTTCCTGGTCGTTGTTTCTTGAGTTTTTTTTAACATTGGCCAAAAAAAAACGATCAATATAATATTGAAACTACGAATTTAGATTAAACATGTATTACTCTTGACATATATAATTAAATTTTTTTTTTTTTTTGAAACACACTTTCATTAAATAAAACTTCAGATGTTTGGTGGAGCATTGAAAGTTAACTCAACGGACAAGATCCGTTTAGCTAAGCTATCAGCCACAACATTTTTGTCTCTTGATATCCAAGAGAAAGAAATACATTCAAAGGAAACCGAAAGGGATAAAATATCAGCAGCAACTCCATAGAGCTCTACACTGGAGGCTTCAGAGTTGAGTGCTTTGATCAAGGTTTAACGCCTGAAAAGAAATGACAAAGTTTTGGAGTACTTACATGAAGAAATTAGGAGAAAAACGATGAAAATGATTGTTGTTTTTTCCATTCTAATTTTTTTTCCTTCAGTGTTTTTCTTTCGTTTTGGGGTGAGTAGAGACGTGTTTATATAAGTTTTTAAGTCACCTTTGTAATGGAAATAAATCTAATCTGACTTTTATATCATACACTTTTATGGTAATTGGTCAATTTAATTAAAGGAGTAACGTAATTCTAACAGATTTATATCTTTGACCAAATAGTAAAAAAAAAAAAGTAATATGACTTTCTACATAGCTTACGGGGGTGTTATTTGGTAATGTATTTAAAATTAATTCTCTAAAGCCAACTTCAATAATGACATCAAAATAATAAATTTGGTGTAAAATCATCTCTAATAAAACACCAATTTAACATCATCCTATCAAATTTGGTATAATATAAATAATGTTACATTAAATTTGGTGTAAGACTATTATCACACCAAATCTTAATATACATATTTTATTATGGGTCTAATTAGTAATGACTTTTGTTTTATACTTTGACTTTAGAATTGTGGCTGTAGAAATTTTGGCTTTAAAAGCTGTAACTGTTACTTTAGAAAAAGTTAAAAGTCTAATTGGTATTCAAAGTTTTAGAAACTGTAACCGTTATAAATATATGTTTATAATTCATTTTCCAAAACATATTAGCTATTTTTATTTATACAAGTCCATAAAATATATTGCCCTAGTTTAAACACACAAAATCAATCAAATTTATCAACAATATATTTTATTTCTTTATTGTAAAAATTTGAAATTATAACCAACAAAATTATTTTTTATCAAATGTAAAATAAGATAATAAATTATTAAATAAATCAAAATTAATAAATATTAAATTTAAATAAAATTACAATTTATTAAAAAAAACAAAAAAATATTGAAAAATTAATGGGTTCTAGCCCATATGTTCTTTGCAGTCTCATCTCGAACACCTTCCATGTATTGTCTTGAACTGAGATCTTGGTCCATTGTACAGTAAATTTAAAACTGAAAATTATAGTAAAAAATTATTATTTATGTTTCATTTGAAATTTTTTTGCATACTGTAATTTTTTGAAAATTTATTTGTACACTATATTAATTATTAATAAATCAATAATCTTAAAATTGTTCAATGTTCTTCTTTTATTATATATAATTAAGTATTTTTCTAACAGATCAATATTGAATTATGTGTTTACTGTTTTGAAATTTGAAAATTTTATTAAAATATATTTCCGATAACAACACAACATATATAATTATCTTTTATTTTAATATATATTCTTAGAGTTTGGATAACTATTTATATTATTAATTTAATCACTTACCTAAACAAATATTTTTATTAAAAGAAATTATCAAGAAAAAGTTTTTGGTTATATCTCATTACCAATTTGAGTGTTGTTTTGGGATATGAGTAAAAAAATAATTCTGATCAACAAAAAAAAGAGTAAAAAATAATGTATTTCTTCTCTAACATCACCAACGACATTTTTAGAATGAAAATGGATCTTAAACGAAAAAAATAGTTGCGTACTAATGAATTTATTTCTTGCGATGAAACATAAGTTGATGTAGAGATGCACTTTAATTTTTCCGGGAGGAGAAGAAAAAGAAAAACAAAGAAAAAAAGTCAAGTTTTATTTTCTCAGTTCCTTAAAGTTATGACTCCCTTGCTGTTAGAAAACAAACGCAAAAATAGAAGAAAAAACAGTTACGTGCTGTGAAGATTTTAAGTCACAAACTTTTAGAAAAAGTCCGATTGGGAGAAAATTAACTTTAAGGGCTGTTAGATTCTCTAAAGCCTCAACAGTCCTTCTGCCAATCGGACCCATATATATTTCACTTAATAATATATGTCAATAAATATTGTTTGTTATTTCCAGTTTGTAATTAAATTAAAATATAATGTATAATTTGTATTTTTAAATTAATTTACATAATTAAGTTTTTATATCTTTCTGTCAATAAATCACTATAAAGTATTATCATTTATGTCAAAATTTAACATATAATATATCATATAATTTTTAATTTTTACTTTTAAAAGTGTAAAATTTTAATTAGTATATAAAATATAGAAATCAATCTTGTAAGCTAGATTTAACAGTAACTCATTAAAATTTATGTAATACTTTGTTATCTACTTTTCATTGTTGATAATTTGTAATTTTGAATAAAACTAATATTTTACAGAGAGTAAATACATAAAGATATAATATTGGCAAACCAAAAATATAAATATAAATAAAATTTAACAAACATAATAATAGATAAATGTGATAGGATAGTATTTATCAATTAAAAATAATAAAAATTAGAAAATTAAATAATATATAGTATTATTTTTGGTGTAAAATTTGGTGTCATTGTTGAAAATAGAAAAAAATGTTTGACACCAAAACACTAAATTTGGTGTAGTTTTAACACCAAATTTAATAATTGTTAGAGATGCCATAAGTTTTCCAATTTGGTATTATTCAAAGATTGATTTTAGTTTTAATATTAAAATCTATGGTTATTGGTTACTGTATTTAAAGTATTTATATTAATAGATTTTAAACTTCTAGTGTTATTGGTTCTTAGATTTATAATCTTTATATTAAAAGAATTTAAAATTCAGTGTTATTCAATTAAAGATTTGAATCTTGTGTTATCATTGTTCGATAGAATTTTACAATTCCTTTGACTTGAAATATTTGAATGGATTTGAATTTACTTTTATGTATAAAATAGCTCAATCAAAATCTGACATTTCACCTTCAGATTTTAAAAACCAAAACTCATCTACCGAATAAAATCTAACGTTTGGCCGAAAAAAACATATAACAAACTCATCACAATCATAATCGTGACGTGAACCAGTCATACGATCATACAATAGAAATCATATATAGAAAATATTTGTTCTTTGATCAGACCTAAATTTCTCCACAAGTAGAAAAAGCTTTTTATTGTCTGCTATATAAAAAGCTATTTTCATTGTGTAGTGATATAGTTATTCAGTTTACATTATTATAATTATTTTCTAATTTAAAATTACAATCTTTTCAAAATGTTTAATTCTGTTATAGAAATCAAATGATATCATCTTGATTTTATAAATACATTGAGAAGGATTATATTTTTTTAAAGATGAATCATGTATTTTAAATTGTAAACTAAAACAAAACTTTTAAAATCTCATCTATTTTAAATCTAACAGAATTGATTTCAACTAATACAACCAATAACACCACCTACATCTCAGATTCAGAAAAATTGGGTTTATTTTTTTCGGTCCAGGATCTTGTGGTCAAATAGCAAGGAAAAGAATTTGAGACACCAACACATTATGATAACAAAGCTGGTCAATTTCATATATTGATTTTTTATTAATATTATACGAATATTAACTAAATTAACCATAATAAAAGGCTATTTTCCTTAAATACAGGCAATTTTATTAATATTCATACAATATTAAGAATGGTCAATATATGAATATGGATTTGGTTAAATATAATTTAAAATTGTAGTTAATTAATTTAAATTGATTTAAAATACAGTGTCCGGATTTGTAAATTAAAAAATATATAAAAAATACTTAGTTTATTGTAAATATAATGGCTAAATATATAAATAAAAGAAATTACTAAAGATATCGCTATCATGTTTCCAAACAATTATAATTTATATTGTTATCCATGTTTCCTAACATTACCAAAATGTACTTCCGTTTTAATAATATAGATTATCTGAAACTACCCACACAAAAAAAAACTGATTTTTAGGATATTAGTCGGTTCTCAATTTTGTTACCCCAATCGAAATAACTGAATAGAAACTAAACTAAAATTTGTAAATATCCGAACTGTTCTTAAATTTCTAGAACAGAGAAACCAAAAACCTGAAATGAAATTGAACCAAAAACTAAAGACCATGCCTAGTTGTTACAAAGACCGAACAAAACTGGGTTAAGTATGAGATATATACAAATACCTTGGCAGCGAATCTACCACCAGAAGCTCGAACCAGATCCTTTATACGGTCACGGTGTAATGGAGCATTGTGAGGATTGGCTTGGCTCACAATAAAATGATTGACAATGAAAAGCTCTTTAAGCTGCATCATTGGCGGATCAACCTCCAAACTACCATCTCTCCACCTTCGTGCAGATGGTTTACTACCTTCTTCAGGATCCAAATTGAAAGGTGGATGATACGGCACAATCTCTCTACTTCTATCCTTAGCCACTAGCTCTTGAGCTTCAAAGAGACCAGGAAAAGCACAAGAAGCAAAACCATACGGTAACAACAGTTGTTCCAGCTCGTCTCTTCTAAACAAACATTAAAGTTAATTAATCACCCAGGGGCCAGGGCTAGCTTATAACATGGCTTCAAAGCTTATATACAATCAAAACCCAAAAACAATATTGTCCTTGAACAAACTCAAGACTGTTTTTGAATGTATATATATATATATATATATATATATATATATATATATATATGTGTGTGATATATCTGTTATATATATTCTTCATAATATTCTGATTCAGGTATGCTATCTAAAATAGGTCTCCAGCCACTATTACATTCAAGATGATCATCATCTTCACTATGCAAATCTTGTTTCTCAAGACTCTGGTACATCATCTCATGGACCGACCCTCCTTGAAGCACCTTCTCCAACTCTTGCTTACGCACAACGATCTTCACTCTCACAACACTCACGCTTTTATTGTCATCTCTGTTGCTCTTGCTTTCACCAGTATCATGATGATGTTCATCTTCGCTTGGTATTTTTTCTTCCTCTTCTTCTTCCACCCCAGGATCCGCAAACGTCACTTTCTTGGTATTTTTCTTGTTCATTGTCGTAAGGATTTGATGAACACAAATGGGTTTTCTATATTCGAGTACCTTCCCATCATTTCTCACTATCTTAATCACTTTCTTCTCCATTACTAAACAGTTTCCCATCTTCTTCTTCTTTCTTTGTACCTCTTTTTCTTTAGGGTTTTTTTGTTGTTGTTTGCTTGGAGATTTGTGTTTGTCTATTTATAAGAGTTGTTGAGCTTTCGTCTAGTGCCCCGGTTGGCGGTTAGTGCCATATCAGGTAGACCCCGGTTTGATTCTTCCATCTTCTCCCTTTTTATTACTTTTATGGTGGGTGGGGGTGGTGTGGTCGGGGTGGTGCATTTTGTTCATTGTTCTATGTATCCTCTATATGTTTTTTTGTTTTTAATTTCTTTTCTTGCATCATGACCTCTGTATTAAATTTATAGAATATGTCACGTTTAAGTTTTTTATATGTAACAAAAGATCAGCTGAAAATAAGATCTACACGGCTACACGTTAAATTTCAACAATCAAACCATCATGAAATCATGATATATTTATTTGTAACAAAAAAAAAAAATGTAACAAAAGATCAGCTAAGATCTACATGGCTACATGTTAAATTTCAACAATCGAACCATCATGAAATCATAATATATTTATTTTATCTTATATTATCTGTCCGTATTTTACCCTCTAATCTGACTATCATATAGAATTAGGATATCAAGTGATATTTGTGTCTCTACGTGTGTGTCATTTATGTTTTTAAACATGAAATAATATTTGTCACTCAGAAATACGGTAGAAATGAGAAGTAGATGGAAGTAGAAGATGATAAGTAGATTTATGGTCAACGCAAAACATTTTAAAGATAGATACTTAATGGGTGGGTATGGGTATACAAGAACTATCTAGAGTTTCAATCAAATGTTTGTGCTCTCATCTTATGTATTAGTATTATTCAAGGTCAACGATCGATTAGCAATGAACGCACACAGTAAAATAATGCGGTATTGACATGATAATGTGTGTTTAGTATATACGTTTATCCAGAATAATAATAATTCTTCTAATAAAATTATACTATGTGATAGGGAGTTCTACCTAAACTCACATTCCAAACCAGCTCTCTGTATGAACTAATCTACTTGAGAATTTTTTTTAGAGCTATAAAAATGTGTAAAATGTTATGTTATATGGAAACAACAAATTCACATTCAAAGCATCATAACGCTTATAATAACAGTCACAATCAATCAAAGTCTTCTTAACGTTAAAAAACTAGAGCAAATTAACAAGCATGCCATTGAATTTTGCTTACGGCATCGAGTACGTTTCATCTCTTATAGTGGTGGTGGTGGCAGAAAAAATAAATTGTTAACGTATTCTCTCAATGGATGGAATGATTAATGGAAAACTTTAAGCAAAAGCTCTAAACATGTCACTAAAAGGATCAGAGAGATTCCTTTTTCATTCTCTTTTGGAAAGTAGAAAGAATAGTTTACAAAAAAAAAAAGAAGTACAAAGAGCCCTTTCGTGATCCCAAGTGACGAAGGCAAAAGGAATTTAGATATCTGAGTCTTGAGTTCCCATGCTTTTGGTCGGCTCACGTGCTACTGCTACCCTCAAGCAAATCTACTTACGTCACGTGAGTGGTCCTCTGTTGGTACTTGGTAGGCTCAGGCACCGTCCAAAGACCTCTTTTCCGTTAAAGACTATTTTTTTTTAATTATCAATACATTATTTTCATCTAACTATTTCTTAGAATTTTTAACCAATAAAATTTTAATAAACAATTTTAAAATTACCATTAATTGATGTATTGAAAATGTAAAAAAATGAATCATCTTGAAATACAAAAAAAAATTCTAAAATGTACAGCATTTTGAAACTGAAGGAGTATCTCAGAAGGTTTAAGGCCCAAATATAGGCCCATTAGTAGTTAAAAAGCCCATATATGAATAAAGGTGAGAAACGGATTCATCAAACGAGAAGAGAAAATCGATGGCGGGGATGCTTGTGAACAGTGTCCTCCTCCCTCAACCTTCGATTTTTCTACCGGTTTCTTCTTCTCGGAGCAGATCAGTACCAAGAACCCTAGTCATGGTTAAAGCTTCCTCTGAACCTTCAGACTCTGCTTCAGTGTCCACCAAATCAACCAGCGATGTTGTTGTATTCACCGCTCCTCCAGGGTTCAAACCTCCAGAGCCGAAACGATTCGCCGTTAAAGAGGGGAAGCTCTTAGATGTATTGGGTGCAGCTATCGGAGTGCTTATCCGATTCGGCACTGGCGTTTTCGTTTCTGGGTAAGTTTGTTTGCACTCTCTTGTGTTGAGCTTTGAATTGAGTTTAAAGTGTTATGGTTTCTGTTGATTTGAATCTGAGCACAGGTACTCTGCTTCTTTCGTGTCCAAGGATGCGATTCCAGCTGATCAGTATGCGTTGCGAATTGGCGGTAATTATAATCAAAGTTCTAACCTTTTTACTCTCTGTTTTCTATTGTTAGATGGGAGTTATAAGGAATCTGTGTTCAATTAGTTATTGGGTGGGAGTTATTAATGCACTTTTGTTCAATTATTAGAAAAAGCTGTAGGCTTTTTATTTATTTAGTTATAACCTTTCACTCTCTGTTTCTAAAGAATCTGTGTTCAATTAGTTATTAATGCACGTGTGTTCAGTTATTAGAAAAGCTGTGGACTTTTAATTTATTTAGTTAGATGAGCTTGTTGTGAGTAGATGGGTTATCTATGTGTAGGGATCACGGTAAAGGAAACCTCAAAGCTCGGGCCTCGTCCCGAGAAACCAATCGAGATTTATGAGTTTGAAGGGTATGTATATGTTCTATTGATGTGTGTTTAATTTGTTCATTTAGACTGTTTTGGTTTCATATTATCTCTTGAGATTGAATGAATGTTTTTTTTTTTTTTTTTCATCTGTTTCCGGTATGTGTATAAAGCTGTCCCTTTTGCCGGAAGGTAACAGTGACACTCTCTTATTCTAATTAGTCAATGTTATTGTCTTAAGACCTTTTGTCAAGTAGCCTAAGATTCTGAATATTTTTGGTTTACTTAAAACCTTTGCTTGATACCATGGAAAAAAGTTGCTGAATCTTGCCTGCTAATCATTATAATCTTGATGTATTGAAACAACTTAGTTATGGTAAGTTTACTAATGTGGAGAATTTGCAGGTCAGGGAAATGGTTACAGTGTTGGATCTTGATATTCTCTACTTTCCTTGTCCAAGAGGGAGTCCTAATTTCCGTCCCATGGTTAACCAGATGGGTGGCAAACAACAGTTCCCCTACATGGTTTGCCTTCTTTATCCTTATGATTTTACTTTTTTTTTTTTTTGTTTATTCTTCCCACCAAACCCAGCATTGAAAGTAGTTGTTTTTGCCATGATATGACCTTTCTTACTTCGAGTTCGCATTCGTGAAGTGCTAACTAATCACACAAATGTGGTTTAAGTTTAAGAAGACATCTATGGAAGCTAAATTTTTGGAGCAAGAAGCATTGCAATATAAAGTTCTTTTTTGCTCATGAACTCTCAGAAACCTTAGAATTCATTTTCACTTTTACGCACAGCTAATTGCTCATGCTGTTTGTTGTATTGACACCACTTTAGTTAGTAAGAATTATGATTTTTAATGTTCGTTGTTTAATCATACAATGTTCTCTTTCAATTATAGGTTGATCCAAATACAGGAGTGTCCATGTATGAATCAGATGGAATCATCAAATATCTGTCCGAGAAATATGGTTGGTTTCTGCTTCTATATAGCCCATATTTCAATGGCTTTCAGACAATATCATCATCTTTTCATTACCATTACTATTCAAGTACTAATGTTTTTTTCTTTAACGTTTGGTTAAACTTGTTCAGGAGACGGAACGGTTCCTTTAAGCCTATCACTTGGTCCATTAACGGTTTGTTTCTTTGCACATGTTGCCGATTATTTTCCTTTGGCTTCAAAATTCAAGAGTTAGTATCAACTACGTCGATGTTGCAGGCTATAATAGCTGGACTTGCAACGATTGGTCGTCTAGGAAAGGTAACAAGAATCTCTATTACATTATTTAGCATATATTCTCAAAAGACAATGCCAACGAAATTTATAAGATCAAGTGATTCTTTGTGGAAGAGTATGCGATATTTGGTTTACCATCACATGCCCGATTGAACAATTCACTGTGAATACTATGTATTATTTACAACATTGGTATATAAGTAATGCTTGAGTTTTTACTTTGCAGGGTAACTTGTATACACCAGCAAAACTACCACCTAAGCCACTCGTATTTTGGGCATACGAGGTTTGATCTTGTCACTTTTCTTAGATCTTCACAAAACCAAAATCTTATTAAACATACAATCTCTGTTTGAATTGCGCTGCAGGGTTCTCCGTTTTGCAAGCTTGTACGCGAAGTTCTTGTGGAACTGGAGTTACCACACATTCTACGCAGGTATGACAACAACAACCAACATAAAAACTCTTAGAACAGCGGCCACCATCTACTGTTCTTCTTATATTTGTTCAAAGAATCAGAAACAAAGGAACAATAGTCTTTTGTTGATATTAGCGTCTTTGGTTAATCGTCAACAGTTGTGCTCGTGGTAGCCCCAAACGGCAGGAATTGCTTTTGAAAGCTGGTCATTTTCAGGTGGGTTTAGAGAAAAACATACATATATAAGCATAATGTATATACATAGTGACTAGTGAGAGTTGTGAGATGTGTTTGTTTTTAATGTAAAAATCAGGTGCCTTACCTGGAAGATCCAAACACCGGAGTAAATATGTTTGAGAGTGCAGAAATCATAGAGTATTTGAAGCAAACTTATGCTGCTTAAAGTGTATCTTCTTCTTCTTCACTCTAGCCGAGTATCTGAAGCAAACTTATGTTGCTTAGTTCAGCTACTTTCGGTTAGTGAACTCAACTTAGTTATGAGTCAGTGAATGTTCAAGAAATGTGCCTATATATAAACCAAATACATATTGTGACATGATTGTCCAAGGTTTTATCTTCTTTCTTGTTGTCTTTTGTGTAAAAATATAAATTTTCACTTTAAATGTCAGTTAAATATATATATATATATATTTTTTAAATCATGTGGTGGAAGGAAATAGATTTTGGGAGTGGCATCGAGTGTGAGTGTATGATTACACTCACCAACACATTTGTGGTCCGTTTGTTTAAACATTAGATTGGATGGTTTTTTGTTTCTTTTCATGTGTCCTTTTTGTATATAGATTTTGACAAAATTAATTATTTAATCATTCAGAAATTCAAATCTGAAGTTTCAAAATGTTTTCCCTGATTGTTTGTTTAGGTGTTGGTGGTTGTATTTGTCGGCTTTTGCACTTTAGTTGCTTGTTATGGACGGTTAATGTTAATTAATTACTTGTTATGATTACTACTTTTTATGAATATCCAACGTTAAACAATCATCATCTTTATATATAAATGGAGGGAAATCTAAGTTTTTTTGCATACCCTCAATAAAGCGTTACTGTTGTTGAGTTAGTGAGTATATGAGAAAAAGGTAAACTGAAAAAGGCTAAACACGGTTCCTTTCTGTATGGTTGCATTATGAATTAGATATGCAAATGATTATATATATATATGTACTAAGCTATCATTTCATTCTTTTAATTTAAAGAGAATTCTAGGGTGAGTGGGTTATGTCTAGATTTTCTATTATTTTAATTTGAAAATAGAATAATCATCTTTAGCCTTATATATTGTCCCTCTAATAATAAAAATAAATATTTTCTTTTTTAAGAAAAGGGGCTTAATAAAAATAAATTTTGTTCCACATGAAAAGAAATTTGCATCTTTACTTTTACCAAGTTTCACGATATATTTTCAACGGTAAAATTTTTAATAAACTATAAGATTAATGTCTACATGTTGACAAAAACAAATGTCTACATATTTATCATAAAGTGGCTATAGTCCCAACCAAACTATTAATAACAAAAGAATGGTCAACTATTATAATTTCACTCTTCAATATATATATTCATATGCACATAGCTAAAGAAATTGGAAAGCGTTAACGGTCGCTTAACGTACAATAATAGACCGTTGCAGTCTGCAATTGCAGGAATCTAGGTAAGGAAATGAAATAAACTAAAGTGTTATGAGGGTCTATCTAGTAACTTTAAAAGGCTATACGGTAGAAACCTGATAAAACATAAAGCTCAGGGTGTTCCGACAAAAGTCCATCGATCCACTTAAAAACACTTCCACAATGTCCGTTCGAAAAATATGACCGTTGAAAGTAAATTTAGACAAAAAAGAAATCACAACCTAAATAAATCTCTGTTCTTCTTCCCTCAGTAAAATCTCGAGAGAGAGAGCGAGAAAGATGGGTTGTGTTTCTTCGAAGCTAGTAAAGAAGCAACTTGTAAGAGAGATTCGAGTCAACAATGGCGGCGATCACATCGTCTCTCTTACTTCCACTACTTACGGTCATCTCGACATCAAGGAACGAGCAGAGACTTCTCCTCCTACATTACAAGAACTCACTACTGAATCCGAAACAACCAAACCAAGGAGATCTACTAATACACAGAGAGATGATCATCCAGAGATTATCAACACATGGGAGCTTATGGAAGATCTCGAAGAATCAACCAAGATTAGTCCCAAATCTCGTGGAATCTTCGGGAAACCATGGAAGACTCCGGTGAAATCGAACGTGGAGTCTCCGAAGAGGAACGGTAGCAGTAAGAGATTCAAGGGAAAAGAAAACAGAGGATTGAGTCCGAATCAGATTCCGAAGAGAGGCGTGATGCGTTTGAGTTTCCCTCTCAAATCAGAAGAGCCTTTAGTGGTTACGCAGAGGAGGAAGAGTTTCAGTCCAATGTTCGATCCAGAGCTCGTGGCTTCTTACGAGAGAGAGTTGTCTGAGGAGAAAGAACAGATCAAGATGGTGATTTCTTCAGGAAAAACAGAGAAGAAAAACAGAGAAACAGAGAGGATGATCCTCGAGAGTTTCCCGGAGAAATGTCCACCGGGAGGAGAAGACTCGGTGGTGATATACATCACAACGTTGAGAGGGGTAAGGAAGACTTTTGAGGATTGCAATGCGGTTAAGTCGGTGTTGGATTCTCACGAAGTTAGATTCTTGGAGAGAGATGTGTCGATGCACTCTGTTTTCAAGGAGGAGTTGAGGGGTATTTTGGGGAGGAAAGAGGTGAAAATACCGGTGGTGTTCGTGAAGGGGAGGATGTTAGGGAGCGTTGAGGAAGTGATGAAGTTAGAGGAGGAGGGTAAATTGGGAATTTTACTTGAGTGTATGCCTAAACAGAGGCTTGGAGGTGGGTGCTGCTGTGGATGTGGTGGGTTGAGGTTTGTGATGTGTGATGTTTGTAATGGAAGTTGTAAGGTTATGGATGTGGAGAAGCAGAATACAGTCAAGTGTTTGGTGTGTAATGAGAATGGTTTGGTTTTGTGTCCACTTTGTTCTTAAGATAGATTTTTCAGTTTTCCATAATTTTTATGGTGGAGTTTGTTTTGGTTTCTAATGATTTGGTGGTGTGAGTTTCTAAAGATGGAATCTGTTTTTAATGTTTGTAAACGTTTCTTCATTAAAGATTCAATTTATTTTGTAGCCCTTTTGAATATTGCTTCAATGGGATTATATCTGATAAACAACATACTTATTTGGATTTTGTTTTGTATTGCTCCTTGATTGAATTTGCATTTCTAAGTTGGTAAACTCTATCTTAAATGGGTGATCAACAAATGAATAGAAGAACAGAATAAATGAACAATCAGAAAACGAATAAACAAAGTTTAGGAGATAAATTTAGCTATATTCATCTTGCTTATATTCAATTTTGATGACGAATGAATTAGTTTTATTTTCTGAAAGGAACAAATTGGAATGAAATACATATTTTATATTTATAAGCAATGCTTATTGGTAGGATTGACAAAAGGAAAAAAAAAACTCTTGTCACATTATGAATTAAGAGAAGGTAATAGTAAGTGGTGTCTGATATTAAACAAAGCTAATAGTAGCCTAGAACGTGAAACTAGAACAAGTGAACAAGGGTAGCAGACTAGAAAACAGAAACGATCCTTGGTTAAATACTTCAGTTCTTACATTTAATAATTAAGTGAACACTAGACTAGAACGTGAAACGTGAAACTAGACCAACATAATATAGGCGACAAACACAATAAGAATTTTGTAGGAGCTTGACTTGCAACCATTGCCTGGTGTGGTGCTGACATTGGTGACATTGCCTACTGTTATCGGTGCTGGTGGGATGGGGAAGGGAGTAGTAATTGGAAACTCAAAATCCGGAGGATGTACAGAGCAAGGGGGTGAGGGTGGGCTTTTCGCTTTCGGAACGCGTGGCCTTTTCTGTTTCGGAAGTGACATAGAATAACCTCGGCTATACAAAAAAACAGTTAAAACAAATAATAGTGAGAAGCAAAAAATAAATAACACCCTCCTAAACTTCCACCTCCGCTGCAACAAAAAAAAGAAAACGAAACAATTAAACGATTGCAAACGAGAGTAAAGAACGAACCCTAGTTAGAGTTTTGTTTTTACTCAAACTCAAAAACCCTGCAGTAAATATTCGTTTTAACCCAATAAGAACCCTTAGCAAAGATAACCCTAGTCACAATGAAAACTGCTAAAAGCAAAAAATGAAATAAACTTACAAAGCTGGAGACGCTATTGTTGGAGGAGTAGCATTGGAAGCCATGTTGCCTGAAGCACGAGCAGAGATGATCAAATCTAAACTAAATCATTCATGTGCACGATAATTATGTAGCTAATAAACCCAAACTTATAATGAGAAACCATAAGCATAAACTAAGGAAAATATAGGTAAGCTCTTAGAAAACATAAGCAAAAACTAAGGAAAATATAGGTAAAATCTTAGTAACTTTTTTTACTAAGAAAATATAGGTAAAATCATAATAGTTACTTGTTCAAATTCATCATAAATTTGAATTCTCCAAGGCTAACAAAACCATCTTCATCTACATCAATGGCACCAACTATGTCAATACATTCAATAATGTGTGATATTACATAAAATCTCATGAATAATTAATGGAAACATTAAAACTTCACCCAAAATAATTATGGAAAACAATATTATACTTCTAGATATCTCTCTAAATAGCACAATAATTGATCTGGTGTCTAAACAGTATGAAACATTCAGTCATGCTTTTTGAACAATTTTTTTATAATCTTATTTTCAATTATTTGATTTTTTTTATCAACATTTTCAATTATTTGATAAAAACTAAAAATAATGCTTAACAATGTAAAACACGTATACTATTTTGCAGGTTTAGATAGGACAAAATGAATTCATTAATGATAAATAAATAAAATTAAAATATTTTATTTATAAATTTCATAAGGAAAAAAGTTACATTCGTTTAAACTAAAATAAGATTTCATATCAAATTAGAGATTGTATATAATTAAGATACTAGTCGATAAATTTGACATAAAACAAGTTGTATAAATATTATTTATAAAATAAATAAATATATATATATATATATATATATATATATATTACATACTTAATCAAATAAATTACATACATTTATTAAATTATAACGAAAATGTTAAAAATAAATTTAAGTAATATCTTATCTAATTTCATATTTAATATAACTACAAAATAATGTAATTATATATATATTCATATAAATTAAATAAGAAAGTTTAAATATTTTGATTTTGTAAGGTAGATTTCGTTTAAAATATTTCTGTGTTTTAAAAATGCTGATAAGAACCTAGTTTCCCGTTGAACCCAATCGAGACGTGTAACCTGTACAACTATTAAGCCTAATCAACACAAATTTCAATAGGCTTTATATCTGAAATTTCAATGGGCATTAGGTCTCATAGCAGGGCAATGCATGATGGGACGCTGGCTCATCCAGGAGTCTCATCCCAATATGCATGGATGCATTCACTGGCCACGTATGTGCAATAATCCAAACCAAATAAAATCAATGAAACGTGAAGACGCTTCAGATAGGAGTGCGTAAACTGGAGGGGCTAAGGCTGAACACACGTGTGGGAATCCAATACTTAGCGGCGTGGCTAACCGGATCAGGATCTGTCCCACTCTATAACCTAATGGAGGATGCTGCTATACGACCAAGATAAGCCCGTGTCCAGAATTGGTAATGGATTAGGTATGGAGTGGAGTTGGACAGATACGGGCTTGGAATTAGGGTGAGTAAAGAAAGAGCTGTTTGGGAGAGTTGTGGAAGAAGAGATGGTAAGAATTGAGAAAGAAGTTGGGAGAGATAAGTTTAAGATGTTTACAAAGCAGTGTAGATGACTTTCTTACACCTGGTGTTTATAATCATATCGTAGCTCAATACCCAACCAATGTCTCTAGGGTCTAAAAGATGGGAAGAGAGAGTTTGAGATATGAGTTTTTGCTTTTGTTGTTTTTGATTCTCAGATGTTTTATGTTGGTATGTTGTAGTAAGCAGGACATGTTCTTTTTATTTCCAATGTGAAATAAATGTTCTATAGCATCTCATCACAGCTTTAAAGTTTAAAGCTTAGATCAAGGTTTAGTTTGATAATGTACTTTTTCTTTTAACTTAATCAAATCTTAATTCGTATGAAAAAAATTCTTTAGGTTAGAAAGAGATAGATTCAAATCCAAATTAAATTATTCATGTTCATGATAATTATGTAGTTAATAAAATCAAATTCATAAACAGAAAACAAAGGCATAAACTAAAGAAACTATAGGTGAAATCATAGTCACTTGGTGTTAGAATTCATCATAGTCTTGAATTCTTCATAGCTAACAAAACAATCTTTGTCTGCATCAACGGCACTAACCATGGCAACACATTCCTCCATTGACTTATTTTCTCCAAGACGCTTCAACATGACATGAAGCTCATCTGCTGAAATCTTTCCATCACCATTAATATCATATAGATCAAAGGCTTTTTTTAGTAGAGCTTCCTTCTCTTCATCGGTGTCAACCACATAGCACTTAGCAAACTCTATGATGTCTATTTGACCGTCACCATCAACGTTAAGCTCTTTGAATATCTCATCAATTTCTTCAGACGTCATCGAAGGAGAGAAAGCACGGAACACTTGATCGAACTCTTCCCGTGAAATTTTACCATCTTTGTTCTTGTCCATTCTTTCAAAAACCTCAACGTAAGACATTGTTGTTTCTAATGAAAAATATATGAATGATAATGTACAGAATTTTATGAATAAGTTGTGCAAATGGATCTATATTTATAGTGAAATCTGTATGAAGATTTCCTTTTTAAAGAATCCTAATCTCTTAATGATTTTTATATTTCGTAAACATTATTTGATAAGTGATTTTAATTAAAATTTGTTTACATGTCATCATCACATTTATTTTTACAAAAAAAAAATATAACATAATTTACTGAATTGAAATATGTGACTTATTAAAATATAACAGGACTTATTGAAATATGTGACATGAGTTTTTTTATTATAACATGTACAATAATAATAATAAAATCTTTTGTTTTTAGTAAGGTTATTAAAATGAGATAATAGCAATTGATTACATATCACCATATATGTAATTTACCTACATTTACTATTGTATAAAAATCTAAACAATAATCATATGCATCAATCTTAAAAAGATAAGAAAATCTGCACATCAACTTAGTATATATACAAAATTGGCTAATTTTTTAATACTAAGTTGATGTGCAGATTTTCTTATCTTTTTAAGAGTGATGCTTTTGATTACTGTTTAGATTTTTATAGTTTAAAAAGATATTTTAAATATAAATTTAAATTTAAATGTATCTTAACATATACAAGACTGGGATAGTTTTAAATTAATTTTTTGGAGGGTCACATATTCGAAAACATTTATAGATCCATAAATCAGGATACAATTCATTAAAAACGGTTTGTTGAAAACTATATACAAAAACAAAAACTGAATAAAAAATATTTATAATTTATTTAATTATTTATAATAAAAATCAAAATTTATATATTAATAAATTCCAATTTATTTGAAATAAATATTTTTAAAGTATTTATATGCATTTGCAGTAAATCGCAAATTTTATTGTTTTGACCTTGAATCAAAAGAGTCAGCTATAATCATTGAACCAATCAAGATATGTACCCTGAAGGACTATAAACCCAGACCACAAATTTTTTTTTGGGATTTATATGAGGCGATCATTAGTTTCCTTGAACAATTAGAAACAAGGATTGTTAGTTTGCTTCGCCTTAATTTGTTGTAATCAGCAATCATTAATCTCGTTATATGCTCTTACGATTGCGTAACTGTTTCATGAAAATATCCTAGCAATGTAACAATGAATGTGAATAGTTTTTGTACAATTTCATTTATGTGAATTCTTAATTTTCTTTAATGTTTGTATCTTTTTGACTCGCGCACCCGCGAAAATATTTATTTTTCATAATCATATGTTTTAAATTTTTAAAATACGATAAATTTAATTGTTTATATATTTTATTATGTTATACACTCATATGTTATCTATGATTGACATTGTTGTGTTTTGTTCAATGTGATTATAGTGTTCACTTATAATCTATGAGATTATGTTTTTTATTGTGTTTTATTTAGTGAAGTAAACAGTAAAATATCAAAACTTTTCTATATAAAGTTTAAAATTGTTATTAAAAATTTTAAATACAAATATATTATTTAGATAAAAAATAATAACAATGAAACCAAATCAAATCAATGAAACGTGAACACACGTGTAGGAGTACGCACGCTCGAGGGGCTAAGGCTGAGTTAGGAATCCAATTAGCCGCGTGGTTAGGATCAGGATCTGTCCCATTCTATAACCTAATGGAAGACACAGCTACCGCCTAGATAAGCCGTGTCCAGAACTGGCAATTGATTAGGTATTGAGTGGAGTTGGACGGAGACGCGCTTGGAGTTAAGAGTGATAAAGAGTTGTTTGGGATAGTTGTGGAAGAAGAGATGGAAAGAATTGAGAAGAAGTTGGGAGAGATAAGTTTTAAGAGAGAGGAATGTATAAGGAAGCTTCCAAGATGTTTACAAAGTAGTATACTGCACCAGAGCCAGATGATTTTCTTACACTTGCTGTTTATAATCATATTGTAGCTCAATACCCAACCAATGTCGCTAGGCTCTAAAAGATGGAAGGAAATAGAGAGTTTGACATATGAGTCTGTGCTTTTGTTTTGTGTTACTTCTCAGATGTTTTATGTAAGTAGAACGTGTTCTTTTAATTTCCAATATGGAATAGATGTTCTATATCATCGTCTCATTATAGCTTTAAACTTGAAAGATTAGATTAATATTTACTTTGATATTGTATCTTCTCTTGTAATTTAATCAAATCTAAATTTATATTGAAATAAAATTAAATATTCGAACACTTTTTTCGATTAGAAAAACCATTGTAACACTTTGTCAGAATCTAGCATAGTCTTAAATTCTTCAAAGCTAACAAAACCATCTTTGTCTGTATCGAAGTCATCAACTAGGCGAGCACATTCTTCCATTGACTTTTTCTCTCCAAAAACATACTTACACGCATCATGAACCTCACCCGGTGAAATCTTCCCATCACGATCAATATCATATCGATCAAAAAGCTGTTTTTCAACAGCTTCTTTTCCAATCATTAAGCTCTTAAAAAACTCTGTAACGTCTATTTGACCATCACAATCAACGTCAACCTCTTTAAACATCATATCAGTTTCTTCAGACGACATCGTAGGAAATATAGTACGGAACTCTGGAGAGAACTCGTCGCATGAAATTTTACCATCTTTGTTCTTGTCGATTCTTTCGAATCTCTCGATATAAGAAGACATGTTAGTTATAATGAAAAAAAAATATATGAATGATGATGTAAAATAATTTATGAAAGAAGTTGTGTGAGGTGATCTATATTTATAGTGAATTTTGTATGAAGATTTACTTCTTAAAGAAAACTAATGATTTATGATTTTCAGATTCCCTAAACATTTTTTGAATTATTATTTTTTTTAAATTTACTTATCACCAAATTTGTTTTTAGAAACAAATATTACATGACTTATTGAAATATGTGACAAGACATTTTTTATTATGACTGGTACAATAATATTGATAAAAATCTTTGATTTATAGTAAAACTCTTAAAATGAGATAATAACAATTGGTTACATACTATATTTATAAATTGCTTGCCTTGCTATTGTTTAAAAATCTTTTATTTATAGTAAAACTCTTAAAATGAGATAATAACAATTGGTTACATACTATATTCATATATTTACATTTGATATTGAATATATATATATATATATATACTTTAATAAATACAAGACTAAGATAGTTTAAATTAAATTTTATGGAGTTAAATATTTGAAAACATTTATAAATCCATAAACCAGCATAAATAGACGATTAATCAAATTTTCAGTTGCTTATAATTTGAACTTGATCGCGTTACAGTACATTAAAAACGATATGTTCAAAACCTAATAAATTAAACAAACAAAAACTAAATAACAAAGAAATATTTATAAACTGTTACAGTAGAACATCTACAAATTAATACTTGATAAACTAATAATCTCTATAAATTAATAGATTTCTCGGTCCCAACTAGGGCCGGTTAAAAATTTGATACAAATCGATACAATAATAAGATAATATTTTTTGGAAAATTATATGTAAATATATTGTATTATTAAAATTATAAATTAATAATTTATATGTATACATATTTTATATAAGTAATAATTTATCATTATATTATTTTTTTATATTTACAAATAAATTATCTTTATATTTTATTAACACTTAATATATTTTTGATAAGATTTAGTAATATTATATCTAAAACCATATTTTATTCTATGCAATATATATATATATATATATATATATACAGCAAATAAAAGAATAAAATAAAAATAGATGTTAACTTGCAAAAAATATTAATTAATGTCTATACACTAAAATCAAATATTTTTTTATCTTAGAAAATTATATCATAAAATAAAAAAATCTAATTAAAGATTTTTTTTGTAAATCAATATCTCTATTAATTTATAAAATTTTCAGAATCTCAACATTATTAATTTATAGAGGTTTTATTTTATTTATTTTATAACCGATAAATCAAACTTGATATATTATTAAATTCCAAACTTATATATATATATAGTATTTATGTACATTGCGTATTAAATCGGCTAATTTTATTATATTGAATTAGAAACATGCCTTGAATCAGAAGAGCCGGTTATAATCATTGAACCAATTGAGATATATATAATCTGAAGAAATATAAAACCCAGCCCACGATAATTTCCTTTGGCTTTATATGGACTGTTTTTAGTTTTGTTGAACGTTTAGAAACAAGGATTGCTAGTTTGCTTCGTCTTAATTTGTAATCAGTAATCACTAGTCTTGTGCTATGCTCTTACGATTGCGTAACTGTTTCATGAACATATCCGAGCAATATAATGATGAATGTGAATAATTTTTATGCTATAGCTCTGAAATTTCTTTTAAAGTTTGTATATTCAGCTCATACCTCGAGGAATGCGAACACTCGATGGTCTAAGGCTAAACACATGTGTGGGAATCCAATACTACTTAGCTGAATGGTTAACAGGTCGGGAGCTGTCCCACTCTATAACCTAATGGAAGATGTTTACGTAGTAGTGTACTGCACCAGAGCTTGATGATTTTCTTACACTTAGTGTTTATGATCAAATTTTAGCTCAATACCAAACAATGTCTCTAGACTCTGAAAGAAGAAAGATGAAGAAAAGATGGTAGGAGAGAGAGTTTGAGATACGATCATGTGCTTTTGTTTTGTGTTTGTTTGTCAGATGTTTTTGTTTCTTAAGAGTTTATAATGTTAATTTATAATGTTGTTATTTGTAATAAGCAGAACTTGTTTTTTATTTCTTTCTTTTTTTTGTAAAAGGGGTTTATTTCCCTTTTCTTGTCACTGTTTTTTTTCCAATATGAAATAAGTGTTCTAAGCATCATCTAATTTATAGCTTTAAACTTTATGAATCCTATTTGAATATTGAGAAACGAATAACATCTTAATTTTAATGAAATAAAATAAATTATTTGAGAATCCTTAGAAAGAGATTGACTCAAATCCAAAACAAAATCATTAATCGACAATTCTGTTTGTTATAAACCCAAATTCATAAACATAAGCAAAGTAAAACAAAAAAAAACAATTAACGTAGATAAAACTAGGGTAGAAATCATAGTAAGGTTTTGTTGTTGTTGTCCGGAGAACTCATCATAATCTTGAATTCTTCAAAGCTAACATGACCATCTTTGTCTGCATCAACGGCATCAACCATGCGAGCACATTCTTCCATTGACGTGTTCTTTCCAAGACGCTTCAATACAACATGAAGCTCATCCGGTGAAATCTTCCCATCACGATCAATATCAAACATATCAAAAGTGTTTTTCAGAAGAGTTTCTTCTTCTTCTTTTTCAGCAACCACAAAACACTTGGAAAATTCTATAACATCTATTTGACGGTCACCATCAACATCAAGCTCTATGAACATCTTATCTATTTCTTCAGACGTCATTAAAGGAGAGAAAGCACGGATCCATTGAGAGAACTCATCCCATGAAATTTTACCATCTTTGTTTTTGTCGATGCTTTCAAAAACCTGGACGTAAGACATTATTGTTTCTAATGAAAAAAATATATGAATGATGATGATGTAAAAGAAGTTTATGAAATTAGTTGAAAGGGGATATCTATATTTATAGTGAAAATATGAATGAATATTTCCTTTTTAGAGAATCCTAATTCTTTATAGTTTTCGTATTTTCCTTTATTAAATTAACAACACGAGTTGAATTAAAAGAACCGGCTAGAATCACTGAACCTAGCCCAGCCCATATAATTTAAATGGGCTTCAATGGGCCGATCGGATCAATCCATACCCCTATAAAACCTCACGATAAGAACAAACTCGCTTCTCTAGAAATTAGGGTTTTTTTGCATCGCCGCTAAGCTCTCAACTCCGTCTCTCACCGAGCCGTAGCCTTCAGGTATCTTCAACCTTCTGATTCTTAAAGAGTTTTGTCGGCTTATTTTTCATTTTTATCGAATCTGTAATTAGAGAACTCTGCTCTGTTTTGTAAGATAATGGAACCTAGTTTTGCTTCAGACAGTGATTAGAAACAACGATTGTTAGTTTGTTTTGTCTTAATTCGTAATTAGTAATCACTAATCACGTGCTATGTTCTTACGATTGTGTTACTGTTTAATGAATAGTTATAGTCTAAGCAGATTAAAGATATTTTAGCAAATGTATTAATGAATGTGAATTAATTATTTTTTCATGTTTGTTGTATTATTGAAATCAGAATGGATTCTCAAATTAAGCACGCCGTGGTGGTGAAAGTGATGGGACGTACAGGGTCCAGGGGTCAGGTGACTCAGGTCAGAGTGAAGTTCACAGACTCTGATCGTTTCATCATGAGGAACGTTAAGGGACCCGTGAGAGAAGGAGATATCCTCACCTTGCTCGAGTCTGAGAGAGAAGCCAGGAGACTTCGTTGATTCGTCTTGTTCTTGTTCCTTCTCCACTAGTAGAAACAAGAAGACAGAAAAAAATGTCTGTTTATCTCTCTTTTTGCAATCTGTGACTGGATTAGTGATTTATGCTTTTGAATCGAATTTTGTTTCTGCTGTAAGACATTTCATGGATTGATTTTTATGTTCTGGTCTATTATCTTTTGTTTTGAATCTCGATACTATCAGTATAATTCTGGTTAAAACCGATTTCTTTTATAGTCTTGACTTTTATATAAGCAGTGGTTTGTCCCTGCGTTCAGGGATGGATTTGAACGAGATTGCAGGTGTTCTCCATGACATTCAAAACTTTGCCACTCTCTTCTATCCATTATCTTTTACTTTTTATCGCTCCTGTCAAAAACTCTCGGGCTGATGTTCTTACTAAGGCTAGCTTTGCTAGATTTCTTAATGCTCTTGCTAAGGTTAGCCTTGCTAGATTTCTTAATGTTGTGTGAACGGTTATATTTTGAATGCAAGTAGTAGTTTGACAAAAAAAAAAGAAAAATATAAGCAATGGTTCTGTGACAACACTTTTTGGTAAAACTATAGAACAATATATCCAAAACTCCGAATAAGCAAAGGTTAATGAATTGTTAGGGATCTTGTCAAGACTAAGCATACTCTACAGGTAACTATGCCTTCATCAACCAAAACAGAAATAGTAAGCGATACCCTTTTTAAAAAATATATAAATCCATAATGCCAGAATTCCAGAAAGATGATTTTGCTCATTTTCAGATTATCAACGAAGCTTCAACAGCAAGAACTATTGGTGGAGTGAATAAGCAAGAAACTGAAGATTTCGTTGGTAGCTTTGGGGTGATCACTCATTTATTCACGAAGCTAATTGATACGTTGGCCACTAGTCTAGTTGATGTTTTTTTAAAAAAAATATGCGTTTTGTTTTTCATCTGATGTGATGATCTAAGCAAAGCTTATATAAGCCATCCATTCTGCTTTGTGCCTTTATTCTGATCAATTACCCAATATGATTAAATTCTCAATCAAAATTTGCTACTATAAGAAAAATTATATTTATACTATTATTTTGAGTCTCCACTAGAAAAGGACGAACAATTTTATTTTATACGGCCTTTCTGTTGATTCCTCAAGAGTTGTTGTTTTGGTGGAACTTTTAACGTTATACAAATTACATCATACATGTGCAAATCATTCAGTACAATCTCCATTTCAATAATCGTGAGTTACAATGTTTATATAGAGACAATTCCCTCTCGTACTCCTAAATCTCATTCTCTAATTTTTGTAGAACACATTTCTTCTTTTAATTTTATATGTCAAACTAAAAATCATAAAATTAAACTGAAAACGTAAATATTTTTTATTTGATATATATAATTTGATAAAATATTTCAAAAATCCAAAAACGTTTTTGCATATTTTCACGAAAATCATCAAAATATAATTAAAAAACGATTTTAAAATATATTTTTCCGAATTTGAAAGATATAGAATTTAAATATTTTTCTATGGGTTTACTCATCCATAGAGGGGTTTTTGTTTAGTTTTGAACAACGGAGAGGATTTAATTTGAGGTTTTAGGGTTTTGATCAAAAAAAAATTATGAAATAGTAAGAGATCAAGCGAGTTCATAGGAGATGATTAGCTCTATAAAAATAGGGACACAAGCGAAGTTGACTCGTTTATCTAACTAATGTTTCCGTTGATGTTTCTTTTGGAGTGGAGTACAATCTCCAGGAGTGGGGAAGTCTCAAGTTCTGCAGTCGATATTTTTTTCTGTGACCTTTGTTTTATTACTTTTTTCTAAACAATTGGTTTATTACTCCTTACTATTCCCTTTTCATACATCTATATCATATTAAATAAAATATATGCCTTTGTACGACTTAAGGTTACTGGTATACAGTAGTGGAGCCACAATATAATTAAGAGCATCCGCAATCATAGATTATTAGGGAGAATCCTTAAAAAAAAAATGCCATTTTAGATTATATAAGGATATTTCAGTTTTTTTCTTTAAAAAAATAACTGATCAATCGCGGACCGCCACGTGGACAGTGGAACCCGTAAATAGTATAATGATCAATCCTTACATAAGGATTTTATCTTTAAAATCCTTAACTATTCATGGGACATATTGATTATAAAATTAATATTTCCATAAGAATTCTTCCTAAGAATCTATGGTTACGGGTGCTCTAAAGTGGTCAAATGATCCACATGAAAAATAAATTTTACTTGAATTTCCTTCTAAAATTTGATGAAATGTTAAAGAACTAAATTAGTGACCCTTGTAAATTGTAATTGCTATCAAATTGACCTTAGTAAAAAGTTATCCTGCCTCCGCCACTGCTGGTATAAATTCATAGTATTTACCATATGTTTTGTTAATTAGGGTTATTCCTAATGCTAAAGGACAATAAAACCCCACCTTATTCCTAATGCTAAAGGACGATAAGAATGTTTAATACATAAATTTCTTCATCATCGACGAGTAAAAAGAGGTCATGGGTTAATTTATTAATTTATTCAGCAAGATATCTAGCTAAGATATTTTTGTAGAATTTTATACCTGAGTGGTTTTTGTTCTTGATGTCGCTAAAGAATATATGATTCTGTAAATTAATGGACCCAATTCTTGAGTCGCATATTGAGTGTGATAATTTAGATATTAGTAACATAAGTCATATTAGTTATAAATGTCTTACAACACGAGAGAGAGAGAGCGCTTGGCCCCTAAAGTCTCTCTTTGGTCTCTGGAAAACCCCTATAAATAGATGTCTTGGTCATCTTTGTTATCCCACACAACTACAAACTCTCTTTACCTAAGTTCACTTTAAGTCCCACGGTTAGTTAGAAAGAGAAAGAAACTTTAACAAGTTAGAAATGGAGAATATGGGAGCTAGAGTGATAGAGCCATTGATAATGGGAAGAGTGGTAGGAGATGTTCTTGATTTCTTCACTCCAACAATTAAAATGAATGTGAGCTACAACAAGAAGCAAGTCTCCAACGGGCATGAGCTTTTCCCTTCCTCTGTCTCCTCGAAACCTAGGGTTGAGATCCATGGTGGTGATCTCAGATCCTTCTTCACCTTGGTATATATGCATACATTAAGATTATTATAAAATCATCATTAATGTTGGAAGTTTGTTTATGGTCAAAACATATAAAAATCTCACTTACTTTCTATCTTATAAATTGTACATATTTTGTAAATATCATGATGCTATTATTTACATTTTCTCATTTTCATTTAATGATGGTAAACACAACTGAATTGCAAAACAGGTGATGATAGACCCTGATGTTCCAGGTCCTAGTGACCCCTTTCTAAAAGAGCACCTGCATTGGTACGATCATTTTTCTTTTGTCGTTTCATTTAGGGCCAATATTCCATATGTATATCATAATTATCATTTGAGTTATTAATAACCCTAGTGATGTTTTTATCTTTTGTGTCTCAACTGATCTTATATAAACTTGAGTTAAGTTGATCAAAATCTCTTTCATCACTACACGAGGATTTTTCCTATTTTTTTTACTATAAATATAAAGAAAATAATTCTTGTAAATGTTTAAACAGGATCGTAACAAACATCCCCGGTACAACCGATGCTACATTTGGTACGGACTCGTCATGAATTATGCGATATATAATACTTATCATAAAATATTTTCACATATTAACTAAAGACATTTGATTTGAATTGAAATTATAGGAAAAGAGGTGGTGAGCTATGAGTTGCCAAGGCCTAACATAGGGATACACAGGTTTGTTTTTGTTCTGTTCAAGCAGAAGCAACGACGTGTTATCTTCCCAAATATTCCTTCGAGAGATCACTTCAACACTCGCAAATTTGCAACCGAGTATGATCTTGGTCTTCCTGTCGCTGCTGTCTTCTTTAACGCTCAGAGAGAAACTGCAGCTCGCAGACGTTAATCACGGTCGTACTAGTCCATCAAATGCAAAACCCAAAAGTTAATAAAATGTTTGATTCTGTTCTAAATTATTAGCCATGTTTGTTTTTATGTTCTGAATTTCTGTTCTTTGAATAAAGACTGACAAAAATGTGTTGAATCCGAAGAGTACAATCTTTAGAACATGATTAATGGTCTACAATGTAAAGTAAACCCTTGTTTATGGGTTTGATAGGTCACGTCGAGTTGATAAACCTTATTAATATATAAACGTGGAAACACAAGAAAAAAACTGTAAGCGGACAAAAACATTTTTAGTGCTGGTCAAACTGACAAGACTTCTATGACTGCCTAAAATTGGACGCTTCTCTCTCGGCGATCCGAATATTATCATCAATTCTTCATATTACTTATCTCATATATATGTTCAGTGTTTTATATTGTGAATAATATATATATAATATACGTTACTTACTAATGCAAACTTGTGTATCTTTTGCGAAAGTGTATATGTAGTGAATAAATCGAATGTTCTAGTACAATTGTTTTTTCTTTCAATATTGTATTTGTTTAGTTTTACTGGGTACTATGTCACTACTATCCGTAAGCAACGTGCATGTCACTATTATCCCTGTGTCAATATTGTATTTGTTTAGTTTTACTGGGTACTATCTCACTTTCATCTCAACAGATCAAATCTAGTAGCGGGGACAACGTTATTACAAAATTAAAATCATAAAAAGCTTATATATGTATAAAAATTTCAACTCTTTACACTTAACAAGATTAACTCACATTCTATCTAAAAGTACATTCTATATACAATGTTCAAATAAAGAAAAGAAAAATTAAAATCGATGGCTATTTTGGGTCATTGGATGTATAGTATTAGTAGGGCTGGGCATTTTATCCGTTATATTTGATTCGATTCGTTATTCGTTTTGATTCGATTCAAAAATTCCGGATATCCGTAAACTTTCGAATCAAAGCAAATACTAAAATTCAGTATCCGTTATAATCGAAGCAAATCACAAATATTAAAATTTTGGGAAGCGGATATCCGATCCGATCCGAAAATATATAAATATATATATATCTTGATTATATTTGAAATTTTAAATGTATAAAATTATATAATTAGTATTCTAGCACATGATTTTGAACAATTCTATTCACATTATTACTTTTATAAAAGTATTACATAAAAGAGAGAAAAAATTTATGACAATTATATTTTTTTTCTTAAATTTTGTATTATTATAATTGTAACTTAAACTTAAAAAATTACAAAATATGTAAATTCACTAGTTCTTTTAATTTTTATTTTATATATCATACAAAAAGTATTTTTGTCCAAGTAAATTTGTATCAAAATCTTAAGATTATTTGTATTAATTAAAATAGATGAGATATCCGTAAATATTCGTAAATATCTGCAAATATCTATTTATTTTCCGGATATCCGTTTCTCCGGATATCCGTATTTTTTCGAAGCAAAGCAAATACCAAAATTAGATATTTGTAATATTCGAAATAAATCACAAATACCTTAAAAAACCCGGATATCCGATCCGTGCCCACCCCTAAGTATTAGTAGTATTGCGGCATGGATGATAGCTCCATATTGGAGGGATGCAAGTGGGAGAAATTACTTTCAACGGTACACTCAAGAAGAAAACGTGTTACTAAATGAGTGGTGTGCGGCTACGTACTGTTACACTTTTCCTCAACCCATAGCAACTACTTCTCTACATGTATATTCGCTTTCAATATCATATCAACAAATCTAGCAAGCTAATACTAATATGCTTGGACTTTGTTAGATTACTATATAACTTGGATTCTTGTTTTTGAATAAAATACTAACTAGTATAATCATTTTCGTTCATCAGATGCGTAAGGGTAATATGAAGTCGATTTTTAGTTCAGTTTAGAACTTTAGATTTATCTGATTTTCAGCCTGTTTTGGCTTATGAGTTACTTTTATAAATAAAATAAAAGTGCTTAATGATACGTTTATGAAATCTCTATTTCTTAAGAAATTAATTATCATAAGTATAAATAGCTTAAGGGCTAGAATGGATAAGAAGGATATACGTACACATGTGTCATGATAAAATCTCATGCATTCAATTATTGCTTTCAAGACTTTGGAAACTAATATGTTCGCTTAAACTATTTTTAAAAGATGTATACAGTACACCTACGTCGGCAAATGGATTCACTACCAAATCAAGGGCATGCAGAGACTTTAGTATTTGCCTGAAAAAGAGACTGAACTATACGTTACATAGAGTGTTAGAGTACCAGTAAGAGTGGAAGACATAATGTGCCTCTGTTGTGTTTAGCCACTTATGGTTATTTTCATAGCTATATCTTTTTTCAAAAAAAAAAACATCTTTCAATAGTATGTTTATTTATATAAGGACCGGCCCTCTTTTGTTTATATTTTCAAATCAACACGTGCTCTGTCTAACCCTGGTTTTACTGAACATTTGCTACATCTAAATTAATTTGGTCATCTGCCATCATTGTTTGGGTATGAATCGTTTTGAACTTCGCCTATACAAGACTAAAACTGTTAGCAAACATTTTTATTCCTTAAAATAAATGAATAGGGTACATATATAAATCACATCATTCATATCGCACATTGATTAAGATATTATATCTATCGGTACATAGATTTACAAGTACCCTGCGAAATCTTTAATTTCACCGGTACGAAACCGCAAACCTTGTGATTAACCAGCAGTGCAGATAACTAGCCGCCATACTTCGGTTTAGGACGAATCTCAAGGACAAACCAACATGCAATAGCCTTGCGAATAGAAGAGATGACCTGCCATGTTTCAACGTTCATGTAATAACAAAGTAACATGAAGAAGCAAGGGACATATACTATCCCTTGGACCAAGTCCACTGGTCCATATAAACACAAATATTATGTACTCTTTTTACAAATTAGGGGTTTGTAATATATAAGTGCTGTCTAAATCTGATTGGTTTTCGTGTCGTAGAATCGTGCCAGGCCCCCTCACGAATCATGTGACGGTTTAACATATCCTCGTATTGTTTTGGATTGGTGAGTTTTGAATGTGCGTCAGAAATATTATACACTCACATGAAGTAAACAACATATATAAAGCATAGAGTAAATACATGTACGCATACATCTAGAATAAGTAAATTCAAGGAAATTAAGATTTTCATTTTAATGATTAGTGCAATGCATGACATTGAATTGTTGCAATAAACGATAGGGATGTTCGATTATTCACGTTTTGTGGTTTTTCTCAAATGAAGCAAGCGTTTTGTAACATATAAAAAGGTAAACTACATGTCTACGTGAGTTAAATGTTATTTCATACTCATGCAGTGACTTAAGAAAATCGCATTTCATGTATTTGTTAATTTAAACATAACGATTTTTCATCAGACGAACATAAATATTTATATTATAAAAAAACAATATCTGTTTTTATAAAAATATCTTCAAATTGTAGGAGCTTCGTCTGCGATGCTTTTGTACTGAGAAAAACTGCAGAACAACATGTGTCTTCCTTCTTTTCTTTTTCTTATCCGGAATATATTTTTTTTAATTAATACAGAGTATCCATATTTGTGAAGAGACATCTAAGAATCTTTATTAAAAAAAATCAGTTCACATAGACTTTTTTATAGATATGTAAATTAGTAAATGACCCGAAAACCAGGGCCGGCTTACATGGGGACGAACGGTGCGACCGTCCTAGGTCCAAACCCGTGTCCCCCCAATTTTATTAATTAAAGGTCCACTATTTTTTTTTATATACATATTTTTATATAGAAAATTTTAAATATTTACAAATTTTAATTGAATAAAGGCTCTAAAATATTTTACATATACATAATTTATTTTCCTAACAAAACTTTTAAAGATGTTGATGTCAAAATTTTTTAAAAATATTTATTTTTTAATAAATATAAATATTAAAAATCAAAAAAAAAAAATTTGTCTCGGGGTCCAAATAAATGTTGAGCCGGCCTTGCCGAAAACATGAGTTTATATCCGTCGGCATCTAAAAATAATGTAACTTAGTTTCGTCTTTGATGGAAGCTGAAATGTGTTAACTTTTCAAAAAAAAAAATTTTACTACCACCCTATCACAAAGTCATGGACTTGTTGCTTTCTTTTTTGTTTGGCGGCCTTGCCCCTTTTTTTTGTTTTGTAAAAAGAAAATATTTTGTTATGCAAACTGCTAAGAGGTTCTTGTAAGAGTGTCCACTTGCAACCACGATAAAAATCACAAGAAAATTGTCTTTTGGAAGAGTCCAAAGGTAAAGGAAGAGAGTAGAGAACAGCAGCCACATCTTCGCTGTTCACAATCTTGGTTCTGATTTACAAAATCTAGCACGGAAGTTTGGTTAATAATACAGCTTTGGGATCATTCGGGGCCTAGTATATTGTTCGTTCCTAATTTACCATTGTATTTCCAACTCGGTGTGAATGTGATCCACAGATTCATACTTGAGTGTATATATTTTGGTCAACATCACTGTTTCTTGTCCAAAGATCCAAGAACCCTAATTACCCAATTAAACAAAAATTGTGAAAATATTCCATCTATGTTATAGTTGTGTGTGACACAACGAAAAACCAGCTTATCAGGTTATAAGTTTTGTTTCATTTGGTTTAGTAAGACACTGGTTGGAAAAGCGAACCGAAATGAGCAGAGCCGGACGGCGCGGACCTGAAGAAAATGGGGTAAAACATTTCATTGGAGCCCCACTTCAAAGGAGCCCTCATTAAAAATTGTTAATATATATATAAAAAAAAATTGTTAATATATATATATATATATATATATATATATATATATATTGATATTTGATATAAAATATGTAAAAAGTATTAAATATCAGTAATAAAAATAATTTGTTTATAAATATTTAGTAATGTTTTATGCTATATATAAATAAATTTTATATCATGAAAACTATGATTTTATGTTAAAACTATTTTTTGTAAAAATATCAAAA